CATTTGATAATTTGTTCAATCAATGAACATTTATGAGCACCTCCTGTGTGCCCATGTGTGCTGCTTCAGTAGACAAAACACGGGATCCTTTTAAGCCACTTATTCCAAATTCATTAGGAATTACCACCACAAGAATTTGTTTTGTAGTCTTACTAGGCCCTAGGCCTTTTATCTTACTGTTGCTTTTAAAGGAACATTTCTAACATTCCTTCTTTATGAATGATGTTAGTGCCATATTAACAGAGACCAAATAGCACCGATATCACCAATGATGAGACACAATGACAACACGTCATCCGTGTAATGAATCACAGATGCAACATCCCACATGTGTCACTTGCCAAAATGCACAAGGTGAATGTAATCACGAAGAGGCAATTCCACAAATCCAAATTAGAAATATTCTACAAAACTGGCCCTTACTACTTAAGCAATGTTATTATGAAATAAAATAGATTGAGATGGCAACTACATATAACACATGAGTTGTATTCTGGACCAGAAATGACACTTTTCTACATACATGGAGAGAAAGGTAGAAAAAGGGACAACAGCAAATGTGGCAGAATGTTAACAACTGGTGGGTCCAGGAGAAGGAAAGTCAGTTCAACTATATTTGCTACTTCTCTGTAGGGTTCTTATTTTTCCAAAGGAAAGTTTTTAATTCTGTTTCCTACATGTATGTAGGAATCATTTTCCTAATTTGTTAGGAATTTTGATCATGAATGGGTATAGAGCTTTATTTAGTGCTTTTTCTTCATTTAGAGAGATGACCATCTGGTTTTTCCCCTTTATTTAGTGTAGGAGAACTGGGGTGTAGACAGAGGTGGGGGGGCGGTGAGATGATTCACCAGAGACAGGGTGGGGAGCAGAACAGGTAGATGTACTGAAATACACTGCTGAGGGGAGCAGCAGGTGAGACAGGAGAGGTCTGCTGCGCCATGTGGGTAGCTCCCTGGCCGAGGACAGAACTCAGGCTCTAGTGGTGGTAGAGCCGAGACTTAACCCCTAGGCCACCAAGGAGACCCTCCCCTTTTATTTGTTAATATAATGTTTACATTTATAGATTTTAATATTAAATCACCCTTAGTTTCTGGAACAAAGCAATGGGGTCAGAATGTATTGCTTTATTTTTTAAAATTCACAGAGAGGGCCTCCCCGGTGGCGCAGCGGTTGAGCGCTGGGTTGCGAAGCTGCCCGCAGCCTCTGCAGCACCAGTTCGATCCCCGGCTGCTCCCCGGCCACCGGAGGAGGGTCCCACCTGGCGTGCAGACCTCTCCTGCTGCCTGCTGCTCCCCTCAGCAGTGTACTTCGGTCCTTCTGCCTGCTCTGCTTCCCCCTCTGGCTCTGGTGAATTCTCTCACCCTCCCGCGCTTCTGACTGTACCCAGTGCTTGTATAAATGAATAAAAATAAATCTTTAAAATAAAAAAAAAATAAAATAAAATTCACAGAGAGCTTCAGTTTGCTGGTAATTTTACTTTCATTTTTCCTATGTGAGACTGGCCTCCCACTTTCCTTTCTTGTTCTGTCCTTTTCTGGTTTTGAAATCCAGGTTACACTGACTTCCCAGAACAAGGAGGGGAGTAGTCTCCATTTTCCTATCCTCTCTAGATGTTTGTAAAAGATTGGAATAATCAGAAATGGTTTATGAAAAACCACATGGAACTAAATAACATATAAAAAAGCCCATAGAATGCAAATGTTCAGCTTAATGAACTGATGGAAAATAAATCCTCAAATAACAGCCACACTCCTAGGTCCAGACATGAAATGTTCCCAGCAGAAAGGGACCCCTCCCTGCCCCCAGCCAAGGGAGGCTTTCTAACTACAGCTCCTTCTCCCCACTCCCCACCATGGGTAATTGTTATTGATAGGCCCTTCTTTGCTTTTCTTTAAAAATGTTCTACTTAATACAGTCCTTAAAGTAGAGATTAATTTAATCTGCTTTTAATTTTAAGTGACTAGAAGAAGACAGTTTATAATTTGTTTCATTTCTTTTCCTCAACATTGTTTATTTTTTATTTTTTAATTTTTTATACAAGAACCGGGGTACAGGCCAGATGGGCGGGGGGTGAGAAGATTCCCCAGAGACAGAATGGGGAACAGAACAGGCAGATTGAATGAAATACACTGCTGAGGGGAGAAGCGGGCGAGACAGGAGAGGTCTGCCGCACAATGCGTGACCCTCACCCGCCGGCCGGGATTGAACCAGTGCTGCAGAGGCGCGGGCAGCTTCACAGCTCTGTACTCAACTGCCTGCGCCACCAGGGAGGCCCTGAAATTTGTTTTTAAGATTCATCCATGTTATAAACAAACAGGACTATATCAAACTAAAAAGCTTCTTTCTGTGCAGGACAGAAACTATCGTTAAAGGGAAAAGGCAACTTACTGAATGGGAGAAGACTTTGCAAATCACATATTATGCAAAGGGTCAATATCCAAAATATATAAAGAACTCACAAAACTCAATAATAGAAAAAAGAAACACAGGCCAATTAAAAATGGGCAGAGGATCTGAATAGATACTTCTCCAAAAATATACAGCCGGCTAGCAGGAAAGATGTTCAGCATCTCTTACTACTAGGGAAAGGCAAATCAAAACAACAATGAGATACTACCTCACGCCTGTGAGAATAAATATCATTAAAAGGATAAGAAATCATAAATGTTGGAGAGGATGTGGAGAGAAGAGCATCCTTTTATACTGCTGGTGGGAATGTAAGTTGGTGCAGATTTATGGGAAGCCATAAAGTGATCCCTCAAAAAATTAATCAGGTCTCCCTGGTGGCCTAGGGGTTAAGTGTCAGCACTGTCAACACCACTGCCTGAGTTCAATCCCAGGCCAGGGAGCTGACCCACATGGCGCAGCAGACCTCTCCTGTCTCGATGCTGCGCCCCTCAGCAGTGTATTTCAGTAGAGTTGCCTGCTCTGCTCCCCATTCTGTCTCTGGTGAATCCTCTCACACACACCTCCTCCCTGTCCACCCCCGCACCTCTGGCCTATGCCCCAGTTCTTATATACATAAATAAATAAATCTTTAAAAAAATTAATCTACCATGTGACCCAGCTATCCCATTCTGATATTTATAGGAAAACACTAATGCAAAGAGCTATATGCACGCCCATGTCATTGCAGGAGGCAGGACATTTGCAAACTTTTAGTAACCTTATAGGTTTTCTGTGCTATGAGATGCTTGTTTAGTTTTCTTTTTTCTTGGTCCGTTTTATGCATTCAGGAAAAGAACACTTTATAGTGCTGATTGTGCAAATATTTCTTCTCATTCTGTGACTTGCCTTTCCTTCTCTTTATTTTAAGAGAGATTTTTATTGTTCAACTTTAAAAAGTCATAGGACTCTTCCATTTTTATTTGAATCAGTATTGACAAATCATGTTCTATATATTTTAATAATTTGTCCAGATTGTCAACATTTTCATATATATATCTGTATATATAGTCATAGAATTGCTCATATAATAGCTGTTACATGGCTGCTTTTGCATCACTCCAGGGTTTGTATGTCAGTGTTTTCTATGAACCAACTTCTACTTTTTTTGACCCTGTTTACTAGAATTTTGTATTCTCTTCCACTGATTTCTGCTCTTCATTATCTCCTCCCTCAAACTTTCTTTTTCTTTTTTAAAGATTTATTTATACAAGAACTGGGGTACAGGTCAGAGGTGCGGGAGGGTGAGAAAATTTACCAGAGACAGAGTGGGGAGCAGAACAAGCAAATGAACCAAGGACACTGCTGAGGGGAGCAGCGGGCAAGGCAAGAGAGGTCTGCCGCGCCAAGTGGGACTCTCCCTGGCTGGCCGGGAATCGAACCCACGCTGCAGAGGCTGCAGACAGTGCTGTGCTCAACCCGCTGCGCCACTGGGGAGGCCCCCTCCCTCAAACTTTCTTTGGGTTTATTCTATTGCTCTTCTGCTAACCTCTTAGGTTGGATGCTTAGTCATTACTTTCCAGCCTTTTTTCTAACAGAAGCAGTAATTCTATATATTTTCCTTGAAGGACCCCTTTTCCTTGCATCCCATACATTTTGAAATATATTTCATTATCACAGAGTTCCAAGTACTTTTAAATCTTCAGCTTGATATCTTCTTTGACCTATGAATGTGCTTCTAAACTTTCAAATAAATGGGAATTTAAATGTATCTTTGTTACTGATTTCTAATTCAATTGGCACAGGAAATCTATGAAAATCCAATTTGTATTTCTGATTTTAACATCTAAAGTTCTTTGGGGGAGCTAAATCTGTTCTCTAGTTTCAGCTGACTTGTGCTCCTGGCAGCCTAAGTGCTTGGTCATCTCCAATGATGAATTTCACTGATCTTAATCTGTGGAAATCCTTTGCACATTGGAAGTTCTTTCCTCTGGAAAGACTTCTACTACCAACCAGGGGACCCAGTAGCCCCTCTGGAGATTCTGCCTTAAGGCAGCGACTAAATTTCTTGAAAAGATCTGCTATTAGGTTCATCTATATAAAACTGCCACTTGGGGTCAAAAACTTTTGAAACATCAGCAACTGCATATGGTCCACCTATACTGTCAACATTGCCTGCAGGGGAACCTGTTTTTCCCGTTTGCTTACTGCTTACCTCTCTCCTAGTTAGATTTTGGCACAATACTTGTTTCCCTTTGGGGGGGGGGTGGAGGGTGGCAGGAGTGCCTTTTGCAGATTTCCCAATATAAGCCCTACGATGCACTAAAAAAATTCAAGAGTGAATTATTTTCAGTGGGGAGGAGGGAAGGTCCTAGCAGTAACTAGGCAACTGCTGAAGCTGAAGTCCTAGAAGAGGTGTATTTTTTCTCAATGAGGAAGCCAAGGCTCAGAGGTGAAATGACCTACTCAAGGTCATAGGACTGGTAACAGACAGGGTGGGGACTTACTTAGCTCACATATGGAACCAGGAACCTGAGCTATTTCTGCTTTTCCTCTGTCCTGCACTGCCTCTAGACAGCTGTGTGGGCTTGGGGCTTACCAGGAGTCCTTACCTGGTGCAGGGGGATGACAAGGAAGGCCCCCCCTCCAGCGCACTCAGTCACAATTGCAATGAAGTGGGGGTTCACAGCACAGAAGTGATTGTCGTGGACGCTGCTGGTGATGGGCACTGAGTCGTAGCAGTTTTCCTTGGTGGCTGCTTTGCCAAAGACGTGGCGGAACTTGGAGCTCCGGTACTGGGGGTTCCATGACATCTAGGGGAGACAAACAGGACACAAGGGCCATGAGGCTCATTGCACTGATAGTGACACTTTATGATTGACAACCAAGCAAACAGGCTACATTGCGGCTATCTCTATGGACTTCTGGGATGGTGGACAATTACCACTGACCTAGTTACTTCTCATCCCTTCAAGAGTGGACACAAAAAGGCAGAAAAACCAGAGAGAATACACCACATTCCCTCCCTATCCTTCATGCACCCCCCCCCCCCCGCCCTGCCCTGCTCAGCTCTGGTAACACTGAGTCCTTTGGAGTCAGCCTGCACGTCATCCAATTCCAGCTTGGCCTCTTGCCAGCCAGAGGGCAAATACTTAACTTCCAAAGCCTCAGTTTTCTTGTCTGTAAAATGGGGATGAAAAAGAATTTTCTCATAAACTTGTCATGAGAATTAAATCAACTGATACACGAAGATCCCTTGATCAGCAATAAAATTTACTACCACTATTATCATCCAGGTGTCTTGTACTTTTCTTGATCTTCATTCAGCCTTACATTTGATCACTCAGTATTTACTGAGAACCACCTTGGGTGTGACCACACCCTGTGTTAGGCATTGGGGTTTAGAAGAGACTAAGTCTGAGCCAACCTTACAGGAATGAAGGGAACTATGAGTGAGGCCACTATGAGAGTCTGGGCCACTGGGACCCAGTGTACTTTAGGTAATACTGGAGGTTTGTACATGGCAGTCAGGGAGGGTTTCCTGGAGGAAGTGACACATGAACTGTGATTTGAAGGATGAGTAGGAGTTGGCCTTATAGGCAGAACAGAGTGAGCTGGCAGGGGAGGTGTTCCAGGCTGATTGAACAGACTGAGCAAAAACTCTGGAATAGAAGCAAACATGGAATGTTTGGTGAATTCCATGTGGTCCAGTAAGATTAGCAAGGAGATGTTAAAAAGAAAAAATACACATGCACACATGAATTGGGTAATGTGAGTGAGAGAGAATACATGCTGGAGGGGGGAGCAGGGCAAGCTTATGGATGGCCTGTAAGAGGATCTAGGCCTTATCAGTGACCAAACACATGAGATCTTATGGTCTCTCAGCCCCACCACTGCAAGGGTCAATGCCCTCCAGTCTCACCAACCTGCCCCCCTCTCCCTCTATTTATGCTTCCTATGTAGGCTAGAGGGATCCATTGGTACACCAAGCCTGGCTGTACTCCTGACCCTAGACCCCACTCATTGCTCTATGTACCCCTGTTACTGCTGCCCAACAGGATTGAATACAAACTCAGGCCAGCATTCAAGCCTTCTGGTTGGGCCCCACCCCATTTCAAGATTTTTTTTGCCCTTCTTTTAAAGGGTAGTCTCCAGATAAAGAACAGCTGCCCCTCTACCTGCTCTTCTGCTCTTGCCTTTCCCTCTATTTGGTTTGTCCTACCCCAACCCTACACGATATTTACAAGTCCAAATTCTCCATTTCCCCAGCTCCCAGGCTCCCTCCTCCAGAGCCTTCCTTTATATTCCAGGGGTGCAAATCTTCACTCCCCATACTGTCTCTCCTCCAGCGTGCTCACCCCTGACACTGCCCATGCTGATTGCAGACAGGGCAGTTTGGTGCCAGATGTCATCTCCTCTACCTGTTTCCTCAAAGAAAGGCTGAGGTCTCTGCTCCAGGAGTGCCCAGCACAGAGCTCTGCCCACCGCACACATTTCATTGGGAAAGGCATGTTTGGCTGGGCACCCATGTGGTCAGGACAAAGAAGGTGCCTGCCCAGCCAGGGTGCTCCAGGCTCTTCTCTGAGCTCAGTTCAAAGGCAGAAGATGAGGCTGCTGAACTCAGGAGGTCACGGTGATCAGAAGCCTGACCTTTACACAGCTCCCGGTAGCTCATCCACTTCACTGGAGAGGATCTGTTCTGTGAAGCTCAGACATTTCAACTCTCCTTTTTGGGAGCTTTGTCCAAAACCCTGGCTGCTTTTGCAGAGCTAGAGGAAACCTCACAGAAAGCAAGGACTGACCGACTAATTAATGCCCATCTATTCCCAGAATGGATGTAAGAAGCCTTACAAAAATAGAACACAAGAGAGAAGGAACTGGAAAGGCCACAGTGAGGAAATGGGAACAGAAGGAAAATGCAGGAACAAAAAAAAAAGATCACTTGAAATTCAGTGAGGGTTAAGCTGCTGGGGTTGCCACATAGAGGATTTGGGCCTGAGCTTCCTAGTGACCAATTCAACAAAGGAAACAGAATCAAATAGGCATGTAGTTAGTGTCTGTAAGACAAAAACCATGCCTTGCTAGAAGGCAGCACAGCTTTTCTCTGTGCTAGGTGTTGAGAGAAATGTGTAGAACTGGGGTATAGACCAGAGGTTTGGGGGTGAGAGGGTTCACCAGAGACAGAGTGGGGAGCAGAACATGCAGATCTACTGAAATACACTGCTATGAAAAAAGATGTAAGAATTATATAAAATAAAATATTTAAATTTAAAAAAAAAGAAATACACTGCTAAGGGGAGCAGTGGGCAAGACAGGAAAGGTCTGCTGCACCATGTGGGTTGGCTCCCTGGCCAGGGATTGAACTCAGACCTCATTGGTGCTAGTGCTAAGAGTTAACCTCTAGGCCACCAGGGAGGCCCTGGGGGGATCCTCTTAGAAAGGAACATCAGGACAATGATGCCCTTGGGACTGGGTAATTAGAGGGAGCTTCCTCTGGATTGGACTGTACAGGTAAAAAGTGGGAGATGAGTCAGCAGGCTCAGCTCCAGGCCCCCTAATCCCGCCTCATTTTGAGCAGCAGCAGGATGGGGTTATCTGTCTGTGGTTGATGGTGATGCTCATTAGGCCCTCCACCGCCCCCTTCACCCCCCCAGCCTCCTGGGGATCAGGAAGCCACAGCATTGGTTCTACCGTGGGCAGAAGTGGCACGTGCCACTTCCAGGCTGCAAGCATACAAGACCTGCCTGTGACACTTCAGGACACCCTTGGTCGAAGGGATGAAAGGCCATGTGTTCCACTGTCCCAGGCCCCTAGGTACTGTGTAGAACAGTACCCCACAACTGCCCCTTGCTGCACAACTGCCCCTTGCTGCACAACTCATGCTGGACACAGAACATGACAGAGAAATACACTTGTGGGCCATTTGCCACAGAGCATGGCCCACCCATCCTGCTGAACACACCGTCCCGTGCAGACCCGCCTGGCAAATGCTCCTATGCTTGGTGTGAGCTGAGCACAAAAAACCTGCAGGGGAGAGGGGCAAGGAGGCAGGACCCAGATCATCTTAGGAGCCATGCAGAAGAACCTGGACTCTGAAGGCAGCAAGGAGCGGCTGCAGGGGTGGAAGAGAAGAGATTTCACTTTGAGGTGGATTCCGCTGATTACAGGAACACAGGTGAGCGGTGACGATCACCTGAGCTGAAGTAGGACAAAGGGCACAAAGGGGAGGGGAAAAACCAAGGACCAACAGCCTTGGCACCTGAGTACCCTGGGTGGCTGAAGGAAGGGTTAAAGATGGCTGCTGAAATCTACAGGCCTTGACGGTCGTCAGCAGTCCTGGGCTCTCTGGTCACTCCCAGGCTCTCCTTCCACACCTGTCTCTGTGCCTGTGTGGGCAGCCTGGACTTGGCCCCACACTTGATGGGCAGCTCTAGGCCTAAGAGGGCTAAGGGGACACCTGACTGGACTACGACTCTCTCGGAGCTCACAGTCAGCTTCGTGCCCATAAAACTCAGGGTTTTGGGTAGTTGTTAGATGCCAGGTACCTTTCTAAGTGCTTTTCCTGTGTGATCATAGCAGCAGGCACCCCTCCATCCCCATTATGTAGGCAAGCACCCCCCTGATCCCCATTATGGAGGAAGGTGTTGAGGCAGAGAAGCAAAGTAACACACCCGAGACCAGAGATCGTGGTTGAGCTGGGACCCCCAAGCTCCAGGTTTGGGCAGGTCATAACTATGAGAACAAAAGCTCTTTCATATCCATTACATCCTGGATCTCAACTCAGTGCCCCAGAAGGGCAGTATCAAGACCACTATTTGTCCCACTTCACAGGAAAGGAAAATGAGGCCTAGGAAACTAGGTGGACACCTCTGGAAAGGGAGCGATTAGCCTCCATTGATAAGCCCAGCCCACCCCAAAGCAGCATGAACTTCAATGACCTCTGCCCCACCCCCATCTTCTCCCCATCCCCCCTCACTGTTCGTGCACCAGCACCCATCTCCAGTGCCAAGTTTCTTCCAGACCTGTTGCCATGGAAGGAACGTAGAGAAGTGGCAAATGGGGTGGCACCGAGCCAGGCAGGCTATCTTTCCCATTGCCTGAGGTACAGGAGTGTACATGCATAAGCGCGGGTGAAGCTTCTAGGGCTGTGTGTACATAAGCACCTCGCTCATGAGGGCGTTCATTTGTGCCTGTGTGGGGCTGCGCACACACATGTGCATCTTTTTGAGTGTTCAAATGCATCTGCCCACGTACATACACCTTGAGCACATGTATCAAGGCATGTATGAGTTTAAGGACTCGGCAATTCATAGAGCAAGAGTTTTATTTTCCCCACAAGCAGGCACTTGCCTGGAAATGGGGACCACTGCAGGCACTCTGCACTGCGAGGCCCTCGCCCACGGGCTGGGCCAGAACAGTTGATCTGGGCCAGGTTTATCCCATGCCACCCGTCCTATCCTGCCCGGTCCCATTTGCGGGGCCCACATCAAAGCCACAGCAGGCCTTCTCGGGCGTGGCACTCCGGGCCAGGCTGCTAAAGCACAAAGCAGGGGGTGGCACAGATTCTGCTGCTGCTTTTTCCATGCACGCTAAGTGGGCCTGACGTAGGATTAGGTTCTGTGGGCTGAAAGATCCCTCCTTTAAAAAGGCTTTAATCTTCCCTGAGTTTAATATCCCATTGAGTTTCTTAATAGCTGACAATGGAATGGCTCACTCTCTACCCCATCCTTCACAGCTCTCCCAGACTCTGTTATCCCTATTTGGTGCAGGGGATCTTGACCAAGATCACAGGAGGAGGGCCAGTGGAGGTAGG